CTTGCAATTCATATCAACCCTATGTACAATAGCTCTGAACCCTGCTCTATCTTATGCCAATTTTACTGTCTCTGACACACCTACCCTCATTACCCCAGTCACTAAATCAATCCATCTCATCAAGGGTCTTCCTCTCTTGTGCTGTCCATTCACCCTCCCAGTCATGATGTCCCTCTCCAAGGTCTAGTCCTTCCTTGCAACATGCCCAAAGTATGTCAGACGAGGCCTCAGAATTCTTGCTTCCAAGGAGAAGCCAGGCTTCACCCCCTCTCTCCAGAATGAATCTATTTGTTCTCCTAGCAGTCCACAGTATATCCAACACCACAACTCAAAGGCATCAAGTCTCCTCCTATAGTCTCTATCATCTAGTCATTGCCCAGCTTTCCAATGCATAGCAAGTAATTGCAAAGACTATGTATTGGGCACACCTTAGTCTCCAGACTGACATCGTTGCTCTTCAGTCCTCTGGAGAGGTCCCTGACAGCAGACTTTCCCAATGCAATTCAGCTTTTGATTTCCTGGCTGCTAGTACCAAGAGTGTTGACTGTGGAGCCAAGTAAACGAAAGCTGTTAACAATCAATCTCTTCACCATCTATCACAGTGCTGCCAATTGGCCCAATGGTGAGAATCTTTGTTTTCTTGATATTGAGCTTCAATCTATATTTAAGGCTGCAGTCCTTAACCTTCTGCAGCAAGTGCTTCAGATCCTCCTATAGAGAGGCCAAAATAAAGGAAAGAAATGAAGGAAAAGATAGGAACAAATTATTCCAATGGGCAGCTGGAGAAGACAAAGTCAAGCACTATAATAATATGTGCAAAGAGCTGGAGTTAGAAGAGCAAAATAAAAGGGCACACTAAATCTTTCTCAAGCTGAAAGAACTTAAGGACAAATTCAAGCCTCAAGTTATAACACTGAAGGGGCCTATAGGCCAAATCTTGAATAATGCAGGAAGCAACAAAAGAAGATGGAAGGGAATACACAGAGTCACTATACCAAAAATAACTGGTCGACAATGAAACATTTCAAGAAGCAGCATATAATCAAGATCCAATGATAACGAGGAGGAAAGTTCAAGCTGCACTGAAACCATTAGCAAAAGATATGACCTAGGAATTGATGGAATACTAATTCACATGTTTCAACAAATCGATGCAGCCCTGCACATGCCTACTAGACGATTCCAAGGAATCTGGAAGACTGCTACCTGGTCAACTGACTAGGAAACATCCATATTTAATCCTATTCCCAAAAAAGGTGATCTAACAAAATGTGGAAATTATCAAATAATATCATTAATATCACATGCAAGCAAGATCTTACTGAAAATTATTTAAAAACAGCTAGAATAGTGTATCAATAGGGAAACGCCAGAAATTCAAGCTGGATTTAAAGATATCGTGGAATACCAGAAACATATTGGCTGGAAGCAAATAATAATAGAAAGATGTGTACTCCGAGTTCTATTTACTGGACAAAGGCATCTGACTGTGTAGATCATAACACATTATGGCTAACAATGAGAAGAATGGGATTCCCAGAATACTTAATTGTACTCATGTGAAAACTATGCATAGACCACATGGACTGCCAAAAGAGCAAACAAATCTGGCTTGGAAGAAGTTCAACCAAGCTGATCCATAGAAGCAAGTATGGTGAAACTCCAGCTCACACACTTTAACTGTATTGTCAGAAAAGACCATTCCTCAGAAGAAGGCATCATACTAGCAAAGGTGAAGGTTCAGAGAAACAGAAGACTCTCTATAAGACAGACTGACACAATGACTATTAACTGTATAATGGGCTCAAGCATAACTGAGATGGTGTGGATGGTGTGGGATAAGGCAAGGTTCAGACCTGTTTTCCACAGGGTCAATGTTAGTTAGTCAATGGCACCTAACAACAACCACCCTAAAAACAAACTGCCATCAAGGCAATTGTGACTGAGGGTGACCCCTGTGTGTCAGAGTAGAACTGTGCTCCAGAGTTCTCAGTGTCTGATATTTTTTTTTTTTTGGAAATAGACTTCCAGGGCTTTGTTACAAGATGCCTCTGGATGTCTTTTAATCTCCAACCTTTAGGTTAGCAGACAATCATCCTTAACCATCTGCATTATTCAGGAACTTTCCACTTTGCCCCCTTCTAATTTTGCCATTTAACAAGTTTACTGAAATAAACATTCACTTTGTATATGAAAAATCTTGTTTTAAACTGTTATGTAGACACATTTATAGTTAATGTTTCTTTTACTGGTTCTAAATAAAAAGTACTGAGAATCTCTTAAAAGTATATGGAAAACTTTAAATCCGCAGGAGCCACCTGGAAGTAGGAAATGTTTCAAATTACTACTAAAGATTTAATTTATATCATTTCTTATTAATTCTATTTTCAAAAAATATATTTGATGATAAAAATCTTTAAATAAAACACTATCTAGTTACAGTGAGCAATATTAATTTGCTAAAAATATTTACAGAATACCTATCCTTGCCCCACACTATTGTAGGAAATAGAAAGATCAGTGAACAAAATATGTTTAATACAAATACTGCTCATAATTAATTAGGTTTGATGATTCAGAGTATTCAATCATCATTACTAATAAATGCTATTGGTTTTGTTTCTTACGTGCCAATGAATTGAGTCTGACTCATACTGACCCTCAGAACAACAGCTCTAAACCCTGTCCTATTCTGTGCTATCCTGATTATTTCTGACATACGTGAGCCCCCTGTTTCAGTTACTGTGTCTGTCACTGTGTCAGTCCATCTGGTTGAGGGTCCTCCTTTATTTCATTGACTTTCCACCTTTCCAAGCATGATGTCCCTCTCCTAGCAACATGCTTAAAGTATATAAGATGAAGCTTTGTCATCTTTGACTCCAAGGAGAACTCTGACTGCACTTTTACCAAGATACATGTTTGTTCTCTGGCAGTCCATGAAATATTCAGTACCCTTCTCCAACACCACAGCTCAAAGGCATCAATTCTTCTATCATTCTTATTCACTGGCTTTTAGATACATAGCAATTGACTGAAAATATCATGGCCATAATACGGCAGACCTTAATCCTGAAACTGATATCATTGTCCTGAGTAGTTTGGAGCTGACTGCAGACTTTCTAATACAATATGTCTCCTAATCTCCTGACTGCTGGTACTAAGGGTACTGATTGTGGATCCAAATAAGAGAAGTCATTGGCAATACTACTTTAGAACATGTAGACAGAATTGAACAAAATCCTTATCAATCCTAGAGCAAATGAAGGCAGTTTGTTGCTAAAAGAATTTCTACAGTTTTAACTATTTTTTTAAGAAAGTATTTGTGTAGTTCCCAGTGTTTTCAATATTTATACACTGTAGTATTTTGCATTTAAAAATTCCTTTAATATTTATATTCTACACTTTAATCTTGTAACATTATGTAGCAATGTACCTGTGGAAAATAATAAGGAAATCATTCTCTCAACAGAGAAGATATCCAGTGATGTCATTTCAACTCATAGCATCCCTGAAGGGCAGTGCAGAACTGCCCTATAAGGACTCCAAGGTTGAGAATTGTGAGGGAAGCAGACTGCCACTCCCCTGGAATGGCTGATGGATTAGAACATCCCACCTTTTGGTTAGCAGAAATAACCACTGCACCACCAGGGCTCCTTCAATAGAAAAGATGTTGCTGTTGTTATTCTATGACCTGACCGTATGTTGAACAGAGGAAAACCCTGGCTTTTTCCTATGCCATTCTCACAATCTCCACTGTGCTTAAGACATTGTTAGCAGGCACTGTGTCAATCCATCACACTTCAGGGTCTTTCGCTGACTCTCTACTTTTCTAAACGTACCTTTTCCAGAGATTGGCCCTTCCAGAAAACATACCCAGAATATGTGAGGCAGAGTCACCTCCGTGCATCTCAGGAGTGCTCTGGCTGCTCTTCTTCAAGAAACGGGAAAGATACCACTAGGAAATTAAAGCACTTAAAATCGATATTCTAATCACATACTAAGTATTCTCAACTCTAATAAAAAAATGATTCCACTTAAACATAGAAAAACAGCAAGTAAATCAAATTAAAACTTAAACGTCTTCTGTTTTCTAAAAATAAGCTACTTCCTCAACACTTCTGTTTATAGAAAACGATGTTGTACTAGTGGGACTCAACTTGGAAAAGCCTTGAAAACGTTGATGCCCAATTTAGGTCATGATCACAAAACTGTAGAAAATAAAAAAAACTACAGACTTTGCAGAAAAACTGGATATTTCTTTCTAATACTCATAAACCTCCAAGAACATGTATGTATTTTTCAGCTGCTTCCGCGTTCTCAAAACCTGTACACTGCAGGAGGGATTATTCAAATATGTAACTTCAAAACTGAGTCCTGGAGGCACTGGGCAAGACTAAGCAAATTAAACCTCAGTGCAGTGGTCCATTCAGATTCAAAGTGACCCTGGCGGATAGAGGAGAACTACTCCACAGGGTTTCCAAGGCCGTCATCATCCTTGGCTGATGAACTGGACCACCAGACCTTTCAGTTGGCTGTCAGTAGCTTTAACCACCTCGCCACCGAGGCTCTTTGGCAAGGCAAGCAGGGTTAGACATAAACAGCCCACTGTCCCGAGATGGGGGTAGGCAGCCCACCGCGCGCCCAGCGAGGACCCGCGTGCACCCCGTGTCCCCCAAGTGCCCTTGGAGGCAGTGACCGCAGACAGAGCCGCGCCCGGTCCCCACGGACTCCAGTTCCGCCGCCGACCCGTCCTTCCCTCACTCCGCCCCAGAGGCCCGCCGGGTCCCCCGGCGCCAGCTCCGCCCCTCGTCTCCCAAACCAGGCACGGGGCTCGCGGCCCCAGGAGGACAGACGCAGCAGGGCGTGAGGGTGCCCAGAGGCTCCTAGCATCACACTCCTCCCACAGGCCGCAAAGGCTGGACCGGGAGCAAACGCTGCTGCAACCGCGACCAGGCCCGCGCCTCGGTCTATGGCCTCGGAACGTCGGCCTCGTCTCTCACCTGCGTTCCCACCACCACGATCTGGGGCAGCTGGATGATATCGGCTCCCACGGTATTGAAGACGTCCTGGAGCTTATTGATAACAGGAATTAGCGCCTCCATGACTCCCAAAAAGACAAGACCCCCACCCAGTCGGCAGCAGCAATGAATGGGGACCGGGCCCAGAGTCCGCCTCCTTCCTCCTCTCCTCCGCCCTCTTCTTGAGAGCGGGCACCCATTGGACCGGGCCGCCAGACACTTGTCCCCTCCCGGCAGGCCGTGCGCCAAGAGGGCGGTAGAGAGGAACAAAGCCTGCCGGGAGTCGTAGTCCGGCCACGGAGGAAGAAGCGTGCTACGACTTCCAGAAGGCTGTGCGGCCGGGCGGAGCCCCTGCTGGGAGGAAGAGGTTCACGCGTGGTTCAGCAAGGATGTCTCATGAGACTGATTTCTGTTGTTAGCTAACTGAAGAGCTACTGTTGTTGTTAGCTGCCATCGAGTCAACAACAACTCACATAGACACTATGAACAGAAGCCCTGAACCCTGCCCTATCCACCAACGCCTGTATCAACATCCCTCCTATACTGAAGCCCATTGCTCCAACCACTGTGGCAATCTATCTCGTTGATGGTCTTCTCTTTCGTTTACTCTCCAGCCTTTCAAGCATAATGTTGCAATTCAAGGTCTGGCCCCTCCAAGTGACTCTATGTCAAAACAACAGAAAATCAATTCATTACCAATGAGTCTGTTCCCACTCATACTGACCCTGTGTTAATTGTTGTAAGGTGCCATCGAGTTCCCACTCATACTGACCCTGTGTTAATTGTTGTAAGGTGCCATCGAGTCGAGTACGATCCTATGAACAGCCAATCTGAACTCTGCCCTACTTCAAGCCATCCTTATCGTTCTGACACATTTAGCCCATTGCTGAATTCATCATGTCAGTCCATCTGATTTGAACTCTTCCTCTCCACTAATCCCCCAACCCCTTTGTCCAAGAATGATGTCCCTTTCCAAGGAATAGCCTTACCTGGCTACGTGTCCACAGCATGGTAGACAGATTTCATTATCTTTTCCTCCAAGTAGCACTCTGGCTGAACTTTTCCGAAGACATACATGTTTGTTCTTTGGACAGTCCGTGGTATATTCAGTACTATTCTCTAGCACCACAACTTAAAGACATCAATTCTTTTGTTATCCTTGTTCATTGTCCAGCTCTCTGATGTACAGCAGGTCACGGAGAAGACGATGGCCTGACTCAAGTGCAGTTTAGTCTTCAAACTGACATCACTGCTTTTCAGCATTCTAGAGACAGCAGATTTCCCCTACGTAATATGTCTCCTGATTTCCTGATTGCTGATACCAAGGATGTTGATTGTTGATCCAAGGATGAAATCATTGACAGCTTTAATCCTTTCTCCATCTATCCTAACTTTGACTTTGCACCTGTGATGAGTACCTTTGTTTTCTTGATGTTGAGATATAATCCATACCAAAGTCTCTGATGTTCTGCTCTAATATTTTTATATCCTACTCACTTTCAGCAAACAAAGTTGGTTTACCTGCATAATGTAGGTTTTTGATGAGTCATCTTCTAATACTGGTGCTGGATTCTTCTTTATGGAGTCCAGCTTCACGAATTATTTGCTCAGCATACAGAATGCATAACTATGGGGAAAGGATAGAGCTTTGATGCACACCCTTCCTGATTTTAAGCCATCCCTTGTTCTGTTTGGACAGAACTTTTTGGTCTAGGTATAGATTTCACATGAGCACAATTAAGTGGATTCAGTTTCATTTTCCTTAGCTTCAGCTTGAACTTGCATATGAGTAGTGGGTGGTTTGTTCCACAATCAGCTCCTGCCCTCGTTTTCACAGCTGATATTGAGCTTCTCCAGCGGTTCTTTCCGCAGGTGTAATCCATTGATTCCTATGAATACCAAC